CTGTCATTGGCCATCTGTAGGCGAGATACGTCGCCTACTAGGCCCTCCACGACCTCCGACATAGCGGAGGAGGAGTCCTTAAGGGCCCTCACAAAAGAGCCCTTAAGGTTAATTGACTTGGTGGCTACCTTCTGGACGATAGCCACCGCCGCCCTCGCCCTCTCCTGCACAGACACGGGAGCCCGGGGGGCGTCTCCCTCCACCGGCTCCCGAATCTTGAGCAGGAGATCCGCGATCTCCTCCTCCGCTGCGGCCTCGCCGTCCGCTCGTACCCGTCTGTAGGAATCCGCCTTGGAGAAGGCGGAGCCTGACGGGACGGGGACAGGGGTACGCGACCTACCTATACGGCCGCCCTTAGGAGGCCCAGACTCCACGGATGGGTTGTCTTCCCCATCCCTCGAGAGTTCCCTCTTGCGGCTCTCGCTCGGTCCCGCTTCCACTTCCATGCGCTCCGAGCTGTCCGTCCTCTCGCTGGGGCCTTCACCGGCGCCAGTGGTGGCAGATTTGGAGCGCAAGCGCTCCGATCTTCGGCTCCCAGCAGGCAGTCTGCTACAGACTACTACCGGGAGCCCCACCGAGATAGGCGTTCCAGACACTACCTCAGTGGACGCCAGATCTATTCCACCACTCCTCCTCTGCGACTCCTCCTTCTTGTTTCCCATCGTTCCTTTTTCCATTGTGCTCGCCTTTTTTGTTGTTTGTATCGATCCTTTGTTATTAATTTTACTGTCATTTGCCATAATTAAACCCACGAGTGGGGGAGAACTAAAGGTCCACCCGGGCAGAGATCCCCCAATACCCGGGCAAGCGTAAATTTATGCCCAACCGAGGGGTCCGCAAGTGCCCCGGCTGGGAGTGCGCTTACGACTGAACTACCCATCAGCCATGCATCCCCTGGCCACGCACCAGAACACGGGATTCGGGGCATTTTTTAGAGAGGTTTACATCCTCGCGGTCCGGGCGGTTAAGCCAAGACCCTCGTCCCCGATCAGAGCCGCGAGACTTGACCACAGCGCTCTTCTCGGGATTACGATATGCCGACGGTGACAGGGAGACTACGTCCCCCTGCCTGCTCGGTGGTAGTGTCAGTACACGCCGAGCCCGTCCTCCTTTCTCCACCGCTGTCAGCGGAGAAACTGTGGCCCCTACAGGGCCCCGCCATCAGGTTTTTTACCGAGGTTTCCTCCTCCATGCTCCGAAGAGCGAAGAGCCAGCAGGGCAACCGGCAGACACGCCCACCCTGCTGGACCAGGCCTTGCCCGAGAGCCGATGAACGGCTGCCTCTTCTGCTAGAATATTGGCCGCTGGCGATAATCCTCTCCTCCAAGAGGACAAGGAGGAAACAGTACCATCGCCAGCGTTTCCAGGGTGCACCACGAGGAGGTTTTCTAGCCCAGCACCCCAGGTTATTCCTACCTTAAGGCTTAAGCAATCCACCTCATGCGTATGCAACTACGATACACTACACTTTTACATTAACCACCTGTTGCAATTAAGTACGAGAGCCCTGGTACCCATACCACAAGTTAAATCTTACTTTGGGTACCAGAGGTCAACAAAACTATTGTACATGTTGAATTGTTATAACTTATGTGTGTTTTTACTGTATGTATCTTTTTGAGACAATAAATTATATTATTATTATTATTATTAATTTATTTGTACTAACAATACAGTCGACTTTTTTTACCCTTTTTCTGCAAAATGCCAATGCCTGCTAAAGTCAAGTGATTTCAAAATACGATATAAACATATATATCATTTTAAGAAATATTTTATAACTTGAAAAATATAATGTGTTTAGCGTCTTTTTAGCTCCATGTATCACAGAGAGGCAAAATAATAAGGAAAACGGATTTAATCTTTATAAGCGGTAAGGGTTTTTTTTCATGGAATAAAGGGGCAATCGGGCAGCCTGATTACTCGATAGCAAGTAACTACCCTCGCTCATGGACACCTGTAACTCATGAGCCTCGAGTACGTTTCGGCCTTTTAGTCCCCCAGCAAGAATCAGAGGAAGAGAGGGTTAGGGTTTCGGTAACCTTAATCACTCAGTAAAAAGCAACGGAAGAACTAGACCTATTTTCACGGTAAACATATCTCTCCCACGGTAGACTAAATGAAAAGAACAAATGATGTAAAATTGGTAATCCGAACTTAATATAAATGAAGTCACAAGTCAACATTTTTTGGGCAAGTATAAACACTAAACTCATTAACTTCTTAAATATCTGCAAGAGCTGTTTGTTGTCGAAATTCACGCGTGACCCTCTATGGGTAGATTCACAGAATATCTAACGTTCAGGTAGATTCCCTAAGCTACGATGTCGGCGAACCTCTTTCGACCACCAAATTAAAAGAGCTACATATGTTATACAGGTGTGGGTTATGTAGGTTACCACGAGATGTATTACGTATAACCTTCTTTGTACAGGAATAAATGTAGTGTGTGTGTATTACTACATTGTGTGAAACATTGTTTTGTAAAAGCTTTTGCTAAAACAGAAATAGTCTATTGTTTCCGAGAATATGGGAATATTATGTATAAACATTTATTACGTTACATGAGGATTATTTTTAGGAGTTCATATATTAGTTTTAAAAGTATGTTTGAGATTTTTAAATTGAGAGAATTAACTAACTCAGTCTTACGTCTCCCGTAGAATTTGCAAATACGTAATCAAGAAAAAAACTTGTACATTTATTCCAGATCCCTCGCCATCAGTCCGTAAATTAAAAAGAGAAGGAACTTGAAGAAAATTCGAACTGAGTGTAGGATTTTACCGGAAGGCTACCGGATGCGGTTGCCGCAATTGAGGGGAAAAGAAGCTCGCTCCGGGACGCTTTGACCAGTCATTCGTGGTGCTGCCTTTCAGAGATTTTGTGTTCAAAAAGTTGTTTTTTAATTGTAAATAGTCCTTGAAGTACGTGAGTTTTTGTAAAATTTCTTCTTATGACAGTCGTGTTTGATGCTTCTATTTATCTAACGTTCTGTTTAAAGTTAATGTTCAAATGAACCTCAATTATCTTTTGCAATAATTTCCTTTTTAAATAGAATATGAACTCAATGAAAGTGGGCTAGTTCGTTTTCTTAAGGATATCGGTTATAATGTGATAAGTTGGATTCGAAATTGCTGTTATAAGTACGTACCTATAACTCGAATTTTGTTTTCGTATTAGAGAATAAGGTTCAACGCTAAAAAAGTATTTATTGAACAGAACAAGATCGTGTCTCTAACGATCAAGAATCAGTATACAGTTGTTGACGGATTTGAAGGGAGAAGGCGCTGGCTCGTGCGGATTCCAATCTAGCGTCAAACGGGACGAGACGCGGCACCTCACCCGGGCCGGCCCCACCTGCCCCACCCACTTGCCTGGCTCCGTCGGTTCATTATGCAGCCGCCCACGCCGCGCGCCAATCACATAGCATCGCAGCGATATTGCCGTCTAACTAGGGATTTCAACGATGTTTGTCGATTACTTAGAAACCTGACCTGCTAGGTGTATTTTTTTTTCATTACAATTTTAATTTATGCATGCTCAATTTAAAATAGGTATATTAATTGACGTTTATTTTATAATTTCAATTGTAATTATTTGACATTAATTAATTTTGTATCGCAGATTTTTCATTTTTGTAACTTGTAAGAATAATTAAAATATAAATATTTTTCTATTCTATTCTTTATAAATATATTTATGAATACAATACAAAGTAGTTGTAAATGAATTTTATTCCTATCACTTGAGGAGGAGATATTTATTTCATTATCTAGGAAACACTATTAATTTCAATAAGCTAGCGTCCTTGGTGTCCGAGATTTCAGGAATCTTAATGTGACCCTCTAAAGTTTTGAGCAATGACTCCGGGTCACATTAATGTACAGTTTAGAGCCTAAACTGTAGATAACGTGTGAAAATGAAAAAAAAGTGTTAAATTCACATTTACAATATCAATTAGGATTTTGCGTTGACACAAGATGATACGACATAATAATACCATGAAGTTATTCTACTTTAGGTACAAATTAAGTGAACATTATCAATAGATTTTACATTTCTTCACACTCGTATTGTCCAATCAACCTATTTTGAGTAAATTATACTCGTAGCTTCAAATTACATAAACGTGTAAGAGAACATCTATTTATCAATATTTCTTGAAAAATAAATCAAAGTTATTATAACAGTAAAGAACGTTTGTGGTAATCAAAAGTATTACTACGCGTAGGTACAGTCCATGGCTTACACAACAATAAGTTTAAGTTCTCTGTAATAAACCGCACTAGAGCTGTACTAAGACTGTCCCCGACTTGTCGATATCTAAATAAAATAAACACAATCTGTCCTTTATGCGATAGATTAGTTATCTGATTATGCATAAATTGATGGTTTAGGAATACTATAGCATACCGTCTACAACGTCCTTCATACCGAAGAGGTCGGCCTCTTCGGTATGAAGGACGTTGTAGATAAGATAAGATAGCCATGTCACAACAATTATTTTTATACATTTCTAATAAGCTTAAAGCTTAATTCGAATTATAGAAAGCGATTTTTATAATTGTTTCAATTAAAATGTCTACCCCCATTATAAGTTTTTATTCGTCAACACACACTTTCCCGTTTTAATCCACTCCTGATGCTAAACGAGCATCATTGCCACAATAAACGCTTCAGAATGGTGCAATGGCGTCGTTGATAATTTAAGAGACCATGCCACTGCACTACTTCTACTACTATGCTTAAACGACATTTAAAAATGGATTCTTGGTGTCTTAGAATAAAATATCGTCGTAAATGCTGTAACTTTGTATGGAGTGGTATTAAAACTATTTAGGAATGGTTTAAAAAAACTATTTTCTACCACTCCGCTCTCCCGGATTGCCTATTTGAGGCGGTCACGTGACGTATAATTAAAAACAGAAACAGTTTTTTTGCCTCGATATTACGTAAACTATTAATTAACAAGTTTTACCTAAAATCAATACCGATACTTTTTAAAAGTTGTTAATCACGACACTATCAATATTACCTGTTCCTATCATAAAGAATAATCCGGGTTGGACGTCATTGTATGCTGCACAGACGACAGCAAGCTTCATAGCTTGTTTAACGTCTTTGGTGTGGTCGCCCGAGTCAGCTGTGTCTAAGTATTTTTTATTGCACCAGGCAGGCACGGCGGTGAATATAAATGCAGCCGCCGAGTCCCTGTGCAAGCCACGGCAGCGTATCTGATAAGTTATTTCCGTTACTTTAAGACAAGTCATACCGGATGCATGATTTTTATTTATAATGCGGCATGCTTATGGGTTGGTAAATTATACTGGGTGTTGTTTCAAAGAAATGAGAAAGGAATTCTCGACAATTGTTTAATTCATAGTACGGCTTTATAAATTGAACAATTTACCATAAACTCGTACGTTATTTATTAAATTCACACACTTAACAAATTGTTAAATATTAAGTGAGAATTTTTGTCACCTGAAAGAAATAAAAAATGGCTTTATAATTACTTATTAACCTTTTTATGTACTGTCTGACGGTCGTTTAACATACAATATTTTCTCTTTTTTGCTTTAGTAATGATGCAGGATTGCATTTCTAGTTTGGACTTATTGTTAATAGATTTTTTACACACACTACAACGATTTTTGAAAATTATTCGGTAAACTGCTTTAGTTTTGTAACATTAGATACAATTTATTAGTCATCGTCTTCGCTTCGCCCATAGTTTATTACTATCTGTTGAATAGAAGTCCGATCGGATTTCTGATTTGATACTTCAGTGCGTCATTCTGGTGAATAATTACGATAACAGAGCCAACTTGCTCGGTGAAACCGATGAGCGGAAAACATTAATATGTTTGTAGCTCATAATATATTGTTTAATCGAATCATAAAAATCTAAAAGACCTCTTATATTGATTATTTAAGCTTTCAGAATACATTTAGTAGGAATAATGTATTATATTTTTTGTCTTTTACTTTCTCTCTTCATTATTTTAATTACCTACGGTGTGCTTCTTACAAATTAGGAGTAATCCCTTGTTTTGTTACTAATATAAAAAAAAAGACGTGTGGCACTCGGGGACTGCCGCGGTAAAGCTATTGCATAGCATTTTTTATCAACTTAGTATTAATAAACTTAGTATTAAATAATTATCTCAGGAAAACCCTAAATAAATTTGCCCGGCCGGGAATCGGACACACTGTGTGTGTGTTTTCAAATTCTACACGAACAAAGTCGCGGGTACCAGCTAAAAAATCTGTAGGGGCCAGATTGTTCGTCTCCTTTTCCCGGTTTAGACAAACCCAAACATGGGAGTCCAAGTGCTCCAGGTACCGAGAAAATCAAAGGGGTGATAAATGAAAAAAGTGGAGGGGAGAGAAGGAGAAGGGGTGGTATTTTGAAGGGACCTCAATGCAATTATAAAATTTTTGGTGGGGGGGGCGGGGTATTGTATGTGGATGTTACTACATTAATAAAAATAAACTGGTCTCCCCCCCCTGTCATGTCAAAGGAACACCCTAAACCCTAAACACCTTAAAAAAAGTTCTGCTATTCATCGGTAGATGGCAAAACTAAAAAGTGTCATCGCTGTGCCGGTCGGAGTGGCGGGTGTTAGGTTATTTTCGTTACGGAATTTCTGGATACGGTCTCCACGCTCAAGGCCCGCGATAGAAGCTATGCAATGCTAGCTTAAAAATATTTAATTAGGGATGATACCTATTTCAGAATTTTGGTGTTTCTAACTGAACTGACAGCTAATAGAGTTGTAATTGTTATGACTAAACTGAAACGAGTTTAAACTTTGCTGTTATTAAGACGAAATAAATAACTACTTACTCATCATAATTAATAGTAAATTAAGATAATAATGTCCATGTTATTACTATTTTTTTTATATTTTACAGACATATTTTCAGTATTGTAACATGCATGTATGGGTTACTGCTGTAAAAAAAGCATGTTATGATCTTAGTAATAAAGGGTAAAACCTTCTCCAGCTGTGGGAGAGCCACGCTTCGGCATAAATGCGCGGGCTCGACCTGAGTGACGAGCACGGCCTCACAGAAAACCGACGCTAAGCAATGTTTTCGTTGATTTTCACCGAGTGAGTGAGGTTCCCGGAGAAATAACCCCTTATTCCCCTGATTCTGAGGGGGGAGGTACCTCAAACGCCAGGGCAGCAACGCACTTCTGACTCTTAAGTAGCAGGTGTCCATAGGCGACAGTAGTCATCAGCTTGACCGGCTGCTAGTTAGCCCCAAAAAAAATGCTACACCACAATATAAGACAGTACCTATGTACAAAGGTGAATAAAAAAAACTTGAGAGGTGTCAAGGGACACCCAGATGGAACGAATTTGTAATAAAGTGAAGGAATTGTAATTTTTTTTTATTATTAACAAATATAATGTAATATAAACTTAATCAGTAGGCTCAATTGTCGCGACACCACACTGTTTAATGCGAAATAGAAAGACAAAACGAAAATATCTGGCTTGCTTTCTATAAGAGAGAGAGAGAGACAGACAGAGAAACATGCGCACGCCGCACGGCTTACAATAGCTTACTATAGCAAAAAGTGTCGTTACAACTTTTCGTTTTAATTTTTTCAGTCTAGCCCCCTTTCGCAACGCGCGATAAGGAACTTCGTTCCAAATCGGTGAAAAACATAAGAAATCATACAGGTTGTGTTTTAAAAAACTGGAACAAGTTTAAAGTAAAATTTGGTCGGTGTACTTTAATGTTTATTGTCACCTACTGAGGCTGGTCTGGCATTATTATATACCCGGTACCGGCGCCGACGATACTCACGCCGGAGTGGGAGTTTACATTGAAGCCAAGATGTAGGGTTGTCGCTAGCCATCGATTTACAAGTGACGTAATATTATCAGTTAAAAATAACTATCTGTCTGTCAGTGTATATATGTAGGCCTCAATGACGCGTTCGTACAAAACAAATAATAGTTGATATTTAAGTTCTTGTCTGAGTAATGATATAAACTGCTTTTTTGAACATTCACAATACTACTACTATACTATTACTTAAAAAATTATTATGCGAACTGATTATCTAGTTTGATCTACAAATCTGCTTATGAATGGAATAAATCTTACCATAACCACACTAAGTATTATAACATGTTTATTTTATTGACAGATAGGTCAACTTTTGAATTAAATAAATATAGTCTCCGAAATGTAAGGGCAAAGGCAACATGACGTTATATCTACGTCTACGTTTCATACTTACAAGTAAATAAAACTTTTAGGTAACATTGTTTGCGTCGAGCATTTTATGCTGTGGCACGTTGCCCGTCAAACTGCCGAACATTGCTGCGATGCCGACACGCGGCTTGAATTCAAAGTGTGAGACTAGGTTACCATCCACTCATTCCTGGCGGTACAAGTTTCTTCTTAGAATGATAATGGTCAAGCTTTGGTAAAGAAAGGTAAATTAAATTACCTACAAGTAGATGTCATTTTTGATGTCACTAGAGCGTAATAGCAATACAAAATTACGATCAGATCAGATCCACCTTGCGATTTGTTTATTTCGTTTACATCTTAGAAGTAAGAATAAGAAACTCCGCATGTAGAAAGAAAGCTAATATATATAATGACTGAGGATAAAATCCGTATTAGCCATCGCCGCTTTACACGATATTGGCCCAATGACCAATCTATCACATCTAGATTTATAATAATGTGAGTAAAAAAACCCTCATGGCTATAAATATATTTCGTTAAAGCGCGTCAGTTTGCCGTTCGTGTCCGCAGCCGAGATATAGAACGCGAGCATCGAGCAACCCTAACCGCAACAGACATTCCAACACAATTTCCCTTTTAACTCGGACTCTGCGGCCAGTATTTATCAATGGAATGATCTCACGGTTCGGGCTCACAAGTAGTTTATTTATTTAGTGTATTCATTCGACAGGTAAGCGTCAGACATTCGTTTAGGTTTAATTTTATTTCGTTAAAATATAACTGATTTTTAAATTTTGTAAAAAGGATTTACTTGAAAATAGAATACAGAATCTATACACATTTTTCATTGGTTACTTTCCTTCTAATTGCCGTCTGACAAATTTGCCATTTTGCATTGACATACTTTTTAACCGACTTCAAAAATACAAAAGAGGTTATGAATTCGTCCGTATTTTTTTTTGTATGTTTGTTTTTGATTTTCAAAATTATTTTTGTAATCGAAAGGGCATGCTCTCGAAATGGTCCCATTGCCACAAAATAAGGATCTGATGATGGAATACTAGAGAAATCGAGGGAAACCCTCAAATTTTACAGCCCGGACAACGTGTTTTAGCTTATTTCTCTAGCTTTATAGGTATTTGCGTCTAGTAGTCGTTATGTCATATTGCCGAGGATGGAAGGATCCTTGATCTTTAGGAGTTAGAAAATAACTCTTTCAAAAATCTAATCATGTATTGACCTTAATTTTTTCTTTCAAGATATTTCTTGGGTGTTTGTGTTGAGTTACAGAGACTAGAAGGGACTATTGCTATTATAATGTTACCTGTTGTATTGAGGGTACTTACAATAGTTTTTTTTACTTATATTTGTAATTATTTTTTAATTTTTAATGCTCTTTGTCTGTATTGATTGAAGTTGGTTCAACTTTTTTTTAAAGGATTTATCATATTAAAAAATGTGTCGATAGTCTTTTAACAAAATAGGTAGTAAAAGTGGTTTTATTTTTGTTTCTTGTAGGAGATGACTAAATAATTGATTTTTCTTTTTCATATTCACGAGTGGGCAATATGAAGAATACAGACAAGGAGAGCCGACCCTAGATGATAGGACAAGGCTTAGGAAGATGATGATGTTTATGAATTTATATATTTCCATTAATCAATCAATCAACAATTCAATTCATATAAATGAGACCAAAGCATCCGCTCCTCACTTGCCGCACCCACTACAACCTCTGGGTTTGTATCTCAGGTAGGTATCTGTACCTACCTATGTTCTTGAGATCGTCATATGTATTTTATTTTCGTCATTATTAATATGCTAATTCATTCCTATAAAATGCTAAGTTACTAACATTATTTTATTGCTCTCACAATACAGTGGTTATTTGGCAATATGCGGTCTTTAATTATAGCTTTAATTATATAATAACTTTGATTACATTTGAGGATTCATATATACACACTTATTCACAGTTACAGAATACCTACTTGCTACGTAGTATAGTTTTATATTTAAATAATGAACCTCATTAAATGTGTATGGTAAG